TGTTTGTCGGGTTCTGGTGGTTCTGGTGGTTCTGACTGGACCTCACCTCCGGTGACGGTCTGGCAGAGCCTCTCCGGGTCGTGGATCAGGTCGCAGAGTGAAGCCAGAACCGGGACTCTGGAGCCCCCCTCCTCCTGCAGCTGCCGGAACAGAAGCGGGACGGACCACCGGCCGAAGGCCACCGCTGCCCGGCTCGGATCCGCCACGGAACGGGCCATCCGGGACCGACAGAACCGGGTTTTAATCAGAGTAACGGAGAACTGCTGTTGTCAAGGAAACAGCAGGTAAACACGTGTGATGCGTTCAGGGTCCTGCAGGAAAGTCCGTTTGTTCACACTCGGTTTGTTTTGATTGATTGTGAGTTTAAAACTCAAACAAGAGGAACAAAATATTAAAATAAATTTATATAAAACTAAAACATTTCTCCTGTAAACATCCTGTTAGCATAAATACATCAGATTATCAGGAAAAACTCGCTCTAACACAGATTATTCATTTTTGTGGACAGAGGATTATGTTTGCACTTGTAACTTTTGCGTGTTTTCTTTTTTGAGTCAGTAGATGTTGATTTAAAATTAAAATAAAAACACAAAGAGCAGTGATACAGGTGAATATATCTCTCACCATCTCCAGCTGTCTGTCAGACAGAACACTCCTCATCAGGCAGGTAGAGGTGGGGCGGAGCCTGCTGTGATGTAGGGCGGAGCATGGCGTGGGGCGGAGCCTGGTGTGGTGTAGGGCGGAGCATAACGTGGAGCGGAGCCTGCTGTGGTGTAGGGCGGAGCATGGCATGGGGCGGAGCTTGGTGTGGTGTAGGGCAGAGCCTGCTGTGGTGTAGGGCGGAGCATGGCGTGGGGCGGAGCCTGGTGTGGTGTAGGGCGGAGCATGTCATGGGGCAGAGCCTGGTGTGGTGTAGGGTGGAGCATGATGTAGGGTGGAGCCTGGTGTGGTGTAGGGTGGAGCATGGCGTGGGGCGGAGCCTGGTGTGGTGTAGGGTGGAGCATGGCGTGGGGCGGAGCCTRGTGTGGTGTAGGGCGGAGCCTGGTATGGTGGAGCGTGGAGCATGACGTGGGGCAGAGCCTGGTGTGGTGTATGGAAGAGCATGGCATGGGGCGGAGCCTGGTGTGGTGTAGGGCGGAGCCTGGTATGGTGGAGCGTGGAGCGTGGCGTGGGGCGGAGCCTGGTGTGGTGTAGGGTGGAGCACAACGTGGGGCGGAGCCTGGTGTGGTGTAGGGCAAAAACACATACTGTACTCATAAGTACAATAAAAATGAAATACAAATGAAATGGAAGGCAGCAGAGAGAAGAAAAAAATCTTATAATATCTGGCCCTTTTTCCTCAAGTATAATTTCAAACAATAATAATCTTCAGTTAAAAAAATAAAACAAAAACATCACATCTTTTTAGAAAAACAAATTATACTGTTTCATATTATTTCAACAATCTAACCTTCATCATTCTTTTAAACATGAACCTTGATGGGGCACTTTTAACATCATTTTCCAGATTATTCCACAACCTGACTCCTTGGATTGAGGAGCATCGTTCTTCAAACTGGTTCTAAATGTAGGTTTCATGAACATCTCTGTTCCCTTAAGATTATAACAGCTGTATCTCTTTACAAAGTTTATCTGGATGTTAAAAATCTTTGGCAGTCTTCTTCATTTTCTACAATAAATCAAATATATCCACTATGAATATTATAGTTTTTGTTGTTTTCTTGTGATAAAAAGCATAAAAGCTACATTTTGTTAAAAACAGGATAGAGTTCAACACACCTGAGGTGTGGTCAGAGTGTTGCTTCACACAGATTTTGTAAGTTGTGTTTTTATCTGATGTAAATTCTGATGTTTCACCATGAAACACAAAGATGTGCACACTGTGAGTTAACTTCATGCAGCTGAAGATTTACTGAAACAGATAATCTGAATTACAGCAATCAGTCAACTAAAAACACACACTTATCATATGAGTCAAATTAAATACTAAAAAATATATCCCCAGGTTTTTAGTATTGGGTTTAATAAACAAACTGCAGAAAATGATCAGACAATCAGGATTTTAAACTTTTCAAAAACCTTTAAAAACTTTAGGATCATTGTTAAAGTGAAATCTCGTCCTCTGACCTTTAGGACCAGGTGTCAGATGTAAATAAAACAAAATGCAATGTTTTGAAAACCTCTTAAAACTACATTCTTAAACATATCACACAGTATGTTTAAATTGAACAATTGTGCAAGACGTTTCTTTAAAAGTAATTCCAGATGCAACAAAAAGTCACATTAAACAGCTACAGGAACATTTTGTAACAGATTAGTTTAAATGGCTACAAAAAGACAATAAAACGTCCTCAGTTTGTGCACATCCAATTCAGAAGTGTTAACTCATTTCATAGGGAGTTAAATTCAGCATTAAAAAGACACTTCTTACAGTGTTAAACAGTTAACACTGTGACAGAGTGATCAGTGTTTGTTAACAGTGGTGTCCAGTATCAAAAGTTAACACTATGTGTTATTTTAACACTAAATAAGGTTTAGATGATATTAACACTGAAGGCAGGGCTGAGTGTCGACACTTGATTCTGGTTTACTTGGTTACTGGTGGACACCAGTTCCCAGCTGAAGGAGAGGGGATGGTGGGCAGCAGAGCATCAGCTGACACAACATCCAGAAGGTCGACACGTGGGAGATAGATTCAGATTGATTTATTTAATAAATAAATATAATTTATCCAGAAAAATCCCACTGAGATCTCAGATCTCTTTTTCAAGTGAGGCCGGGGCCTGAAGGCAACCTGTACAGGTTTTTGGGGTGTGGAGGAAACCGGAGTACCCGGAGAAAACCCACACAAGCAACAGGAGAACAGGTGACCTCCACACAGAAAGACCCCAGGTCTGAACCGGGGATCAAACCCAGGACCTTCTTGCTGTGAGGTGTCAGTGCTAACCACTGAGCCACTGCACCGTCAGATAATCATTGTTGTTCTGGTTCAGGCTGTACTGCTGCCCCACTGGCAACAGTTGTTGCCAAAGTGTATCACTGTCATTTTCAACTAAGTAAAAAAATTCTCAAAGGTATTAATGCAACATTTTCCACTTTTACACTAGTAGACAACTTAGACAAAGGTTTTGATTTTGAAAAAAATGTTTCCAAGTGCTTCTTGTCAAATAAAATCATATGCTTCCCACTCCTTCCGGCTGAAGACATGAAAGATGCAAATCATCCTGGAAAAAGGTCAGTTTCATAAAATTTCTTATGATTTTCCCCCAGACATGTTTATAATTATTTAATCTTTCAAGTCTCTAGAATAACCCTCCCTTCAAAAATTGTACCTAGAATAAATATTTTTTGTTAATGGGCTTATTTCTCTAAGCGGCAACAAAAGTTGCCAATGGGCAAATAGCTTRTYKCTAACTAAAGGAAAACACTGTCTGCAGGATTGTGTCTAATTTACTTGTTTCAAATTGCAGAATGATGAACAATGTTTTATTTTAACCTTCTTAGGATACTTTTCCTTGCTAATTAAATCCATAGGTATTCAAGGCCTGTGTATATAGTGTAGGGGTCACCTCGAGTGAAGAAACAAGATTTACTGCCTCGAAGCAGGCATCAGACAGGCCTGACGAGAAGACAGGAACTCTGTCACAAACTGAACTCTATTTAGGCCATGACAGGTCATTCTAACCGTGGAAGAGAACCCCTCAGTTCTCTTAATCAGATAATGGACAGAACAATCTCTTCTGTTCATGATTCATTTGTTGTTTAACTAATGAATGTTTATGCATTTGTTAAATCATGATAATGACTGTCACAAGAAAAGTGGAACCACTTCTTTTCTTTTATCGTGCCTTAAAGATTTATAATGGTATAAAAATTCACAGAGAAGCTGATTACAATTTTTTTCATTGTGTTTTTATGTAAATCACTGTTTTTATTTTACTGTGAACACAGTAATATAATTGTGGAATTTTCTTGAGAAAATCTTTCATTTATCTGAACTACAGAAGGTTCAGAACTGATTATAAAACAGAAATGTTAATTAATCATCATAAATGTTTTGCAGTGATTTCTCTTAGAGTCTATCAGAAGAAAGCTGAAAAGAAGTTATCATATCATGTTGTTGAACAACCACAGAATTTTAACCTTGGGCTGGCGCCGGCTGGCAAATCTTTATCTTTCTTTCTATGACTCATCTCTAAGCCTGAGGGCGGAACCAAAGTTCATCCGTTTCTTTTACTAACCTGGACGACTTTGAGCGACACACTCTTCTTCCTGATTCCAACCTAGGAAGACAGCTGGGATTCTCTCCGGAGAAACCTCAGTTTGGCTTGAAGTCTGATCCCATGAGTTAATTAGGGAAGACTTCACAGCCAGGGACCCGGCACGCCTGCCGGTGGTTCCAAATCGAGGCTTCAAGCCTCTGAGTGTTTTTAACTCCCGAGGGGAGATTTTATTTTGGAAGGAGGAACCGGATACGACTTGAATTTTTCTGGCCTGGACTGAAACAGACAAAAGTTACCTGAAAAACACCTGTTCACCAACGACCGGTAAGCGAGCCGACATCAGTTCCCTGACTGATCAGAGGCGAGCCAGTTCCTACCCTGAGGGTGCCTTAAGAAGTCATCATCAGGTAAAAGCTGATGTGTTTGGAGTGACGTGTCATGTGGAACCTGAGCTTAGAAAAGACGTGCAGTTCCTGTTGACCCACACTTTGATAAAAGTAAAAGTAGTAGTAAAATACTAATCTTACTTTCCTCCTTTCCTTGTTCTTAATTTGCCAAAACTTAAGCTAAAAGTGCCAGTAAAATTGTTTGGTTGTTAACATCAGAACTGATGTTTTACTGTTCTATACAAGTAATCTGAGTTGATGTGAACTGAAATTCGGACGCGGGTTTTATCTCATTTAACTCTGACGCTTGTTATAGGAATAACCACAATCAAGTGTAACTTATGATCTGTTCAATTTGTGTAAATAAATGATTGCATAATCTTTTATGAATCAACTTGAACTCATCTGAACGTTCACTTATTGTGTCACTTTTCACTTCGCACAGTCAAGATATTAACAAGTAATGAGAAATACCTTGGTAAAAGTTTCCTCATAACCTTGTGTATGAGAGATGTGGGGAAAGCTTAATTCACTTTAAGCTCACTCCTACAATAGCATGTAAAAGATACCACACAATCTGATACAGCTATCTTTATGGGGACCTGGCATTGACTTCCATTATTTTCTACAGGCACCTACCTGACCCTAATGCTAACCTAAACTCAATTCACACCTTAGCCGTAATCTTAAACCAACCCACCAGTGGTGTTTCCCCTTATGGGGACAAGATTCAGGTC